CGGTATTGCTCCAGTTGTGATCTGATTTTGGATCCAATCAGAGGAGAGTTCCATGTTGTATTCACCCAAAGATCGGTCACCAATCTTTTCCTCTGATGGATTGAACCCCTCAGTCACATTTTGGACTTTGCCTTGTTCCAAAACCGATTCTGGAAATCCAAAATCTTCTTCTATCACCTCCCTGAATTGTTGCACATGATACGCCTGGATGCAGTTGGACGATTCTGGGTCTGTCCAATCTAAGGTGTATCCGTCCGAATCGTCAATCTCGCCTTGATGCTCCTCTGGTCGCCATGACAGGAACACAGCCGGATCTCCGAAGCAGAAGACCTTCTTGGCCCAATTGACTTTCACTTTCACTGAATACAACCAGGGTCTTCCCAATAGTAAAGGGAATGGACTGCCTTCTTCTACGCGGATGACAAGGTAGTTTAGAGGATAAGTTAGTCCAGAAATCTTAGTAGATATTCCAGATAACTTCCCCACCGGAATCACCCTGGATTGGTCCGCCATCCGAAGAGTCTGGTTCGTGGTCTCAAAGACTGTGTAACCCAGATCGTTGGCGATGCTCTCCAGTAGCAGGTTAACTCCTGATCCTCCATCTACTGGAACGTTTCGGATAATGCAGCCGTCAATCTCCACAGAAATCTCCGGAGCCCCGAAGTCTTCTAACTCTGCGAAGTTAACTGCTACAGGAGGTAAAATAACTTTCCTTTTCCTTGGCTTGATCAAGGGAGCCTTTATTTGCTTCTGATAATTGGGATTATCATGGAGTAGTTGGCCAATAGTTACATTGGCTTTCTGCTCCTTGACATCTTGCAATATATCATATTCATCTACCTTGGTGTTAACATCCGGACAAATCAATGTATGAGGCATACTGAATCTCACCCGTCTTTTCTCCGGTTGCTGGTTTTGAGTTAGCTCCCCCTGTACCTCTGTACTGATATCCGATGTGAGAGAAGAGGTCTTGACCCCTTTTTCAAACTTTGCTGCTACGGAAATAGTTTCGCTTTCTGAGTCTCCGGAGGAGTTTGAACCTCGGATTATATTCCGAATAGACCTTGTCTTCCGAACTTTCGGAGCTTCTCCTCTCCGATTTTTTTGGGCGGTGGTGGAACTACGTAAGCTGACCTGGTGGATTTTGACAATTGGTGAGTCACGTTGTTCCACCACGCACCGTCAGATGTTTGGGTTTTCCACCCCATCCTTGTGACCGTAGTTCAGGGCCGTTCGTTACCGGGGTGGTTCCTCCACCTGCTTGTAGATAACCCTGGGCTTGGCCGGTTGCTGGCATTGAGGTGCGTTGTGCCCATACTAACCACAGTTCTGACAGGGAAGCTCTAGAGGAGCGTCTTGGCCTCCTCTCCTTGGGCAGTCCGCCATAAAGTGTCCTTGCTCACCACAATGATAGCAAACAGCGTACTGACGGTCCGTCATTACTGGTCGTCCCGAATGGACAGCCGAGGTTTGTTGAAGTTTTGAAGGGAATCCAGATACTGGAGCAATTCCGGATGGTTACCTTGGCCTCACCATGGGTTGCAACATCCGTGATCTCGCGTATGATGGGGCGACCTGATACACAGGTATCATGTTTTGCTCCCCTTCCTCGTATTCCGAAGTAGCAAAGAATACAGATCCAGTCTCGTCCACGAACTGTACCCGTTTGGGTGGCACATGAGTACATTCGTTTGGGTAGTGGCCAGCTTGTCCGCATCGAGTGCACCAGACATTGTTTCGGATCGTTGGAACGGGCCTTCTGTTCTTGTGGTTTTCGGCGAGTTGGACTTTGATGGCCGCCAAACTGGACTGAATGTCCTTCATCATTCGCTTGTCATCTGGCACCTCCTCCTTGAGTATGACTGCCGCCCGGTCGCGTTCTCCATGATGGCCTCTAGATCCGGAGGCTCTCCGAGGAGAGTGATCTTCCTCCGAATCTTCACTGTCGCCGGACCAACTATCGGTGCTACTTCCGGAGCTGGAGTCGCTGACCTCTCGCTTTCTCCGGATCTGCTTCTTTCCCTTGTAGACTTCCTTCTTTGAGTGACTTCCGGATTGGCGTAGAGACTGTTTGGAATTCTCGTAATTTTGTGCAGCTTCCATCGCTTCCTGCAACGTCTGGGGTCGAGCTTGTCGGACTTGAAACCCCATTCGGTCTGGGAATCCAGATACGTACCACTCGACTTGTACGCTTGGGGCAATGCCCGGAGTGAGTTTTTGAATGAGACTCCTCACCCTCTGCCCGTACCTCCGGACAGATTCTCCTGGCTCCATCCTCATTTTGCTGAGTTTCCCCAGCGTTCTGGCTTCACCACCTACTTCTCGAAAAGTCCGAAGAAATGCCAATGTAAGCTGGTCCCAATCGTTTCGGACCGGTACCGCCACATCTAGGTACCATTGAAGGGCTTCTTTTTTTAGTAATCCCTGGAAGAGGCGAAGCTTCGTGGCGTCATCCTCCTGGTTTGCTGCAGCAGTTGAGTTAAACTCGCATAGCCACTCGTCCACGTCCTCCCTTCCATCACCTTTGAACTTCCGGTACTTCAAGCGAGAAGTGCTTTTGGCCATGCTGTGAACTTCGTCCGGAGAACTTTCGCAATTCGGTTCCAAAGGTTGACCACCTCCAAGCGGAACTGCCCCTCCTTCGGTTGTGATCAGTTCTTCCGGTTCGGTTCCACCAAGATCCACTATGATGGAAACAAAAGACACATCCTCCGATTCTTTGTCACTTCTCTTCTTTCGGCTGGATCTTCGTGGACCGTCACTTTCCTGTTTATGTTGTTTCATACAGCCGTGAATACAACTCACTTCTGTACTACAAATATTTTACGCAGGTTTCTAACAGGTCTAGAAATAAATCAAATAGGTCCCCGGCAGCGGCGCCAAAAATCACATGTAGCAATCTTGCGGATCAGTAATCCTCGGGTTTGCATCTAATTTAAGTTAAATGCGCTCCCAAGTAAACCGCTCCGACTTCGTTCCCACGAAGACCTACAGTTTACTTCTAAACCTTATAGAAGAGCCTATCCTACAATTTTTGGAAGTTGTACCTTCCAGATTCGGACCAGAGTGATGTAACTTTCTCGTCAGATTTTTAAACAAGTGGTTGGGACCACTGAGCGCTTTATTTAAAATGGCCGGTTTCACCACTAACCGACAATTTTTTTAGTGACCTGACTATCACTGCCTTGTATTTTTCCACATAACTGTACATCCACTAACCTCTAACCTGCCACCTAGTAGTTTGTTAGTTGCATCTGACTTCTACTCCCAGCGCCCAAGTGTTACTCCGACACATATACGGTCACATAGAGTTTGTCTAGACTACAACGACATTGCAACTAAACTGCCATAACCTACTTAATGAATCCTGAGGATTTCGTCCAGGTTTACCTTCCAGACCTACTCATAGGTTTTTTGAGGGAGTAATTCTGGCCTTAGCTCAGAATTCAGACAACGATCACTCGTACTGTATAGACCACAAAGAACACCTTGTTACACGTCTACTCCCCTCCACGCTACTTGGGCCACGAAAAAAATCTCAGGTTCTTCTGCCTGCACCCGCCTCCAACAGCTGAAGTGATCTCGTACTATAGGTTCCAATAGATTCTTCTCGGAAATGAGCAACGAGAGTATACACCAAGTAGAAAAAAATGCAATAGTCACCCATAATGGATCTTGCCACGAGACTCGTCGTGCCTTGCATCAAGTCACCAAAGAAACAATTTTCTTTTTTGATGAAAAAGCACACAAACCTCACGGAAAACAAGATACTAACCTACTAAGCGTCTTGGCTTTAAGTACTAACTCCTACATAATCTTATCCCTCGCTGAAAAATCCCAGAGATCTCGGACCTGAACCTGTGGCGACCCCAAATGCTAGTCCCCCAGCCTCAAACTCTATTTTTGACTTCTGGCGGAATACCTTGGTTTCGGTGGGTGAGGCAAAAACATACACTGAGGAAGCTTCTTGAGACTCTTCCTCCCTTCCGAGCAGTCCGTTTTTGGTTGTACCCATCTCCGAAGTTTCGATCACCTTCTCCAGGTTGTATGTTGTCCTCTAGCCACTTTTTGAGTTTAAAGAACTTGGTGCGACACCTAACCCCTAAACTGCATTGCACAAATCTAATTCTAGTATAAACCTAGCTAGCATAGTACTTATTTCTTACTTTTGTCCAATTTGTTGGTACAAAACCGGGATTATGTGGGAGCTGGTTCCCACACTTGTGCGCAGGCATCCCTACCAAGCTACCAATGACCTAGAAGTTTGACGACAGTCTTGCAATCAGATTGACCTTTCAGCTGAAGTGGAATTTGCTGCCCATTGACCGGCTGCTCTTAGCACTTGTGTTTCTTGACGTGGACCAGAACTGTTGGCCTTGAGCTCTTCGGTTCCCGGTCGACAGTATGTTGCAGCTCTCGTAGAGATCGCCCCTCCGCTTAAGATGGCAGGCGTCCATCAGCAGATGGGAGGACCGTGTAAAACAGATGCAAGCAATATTAAGATCGGAGGGGGGCAGCGCGGCACGAACTGAGGACAGGGACTATATCGAGCCAGAGCCACATCTTCTGTGGACTGTCGATGAATTCTATAAATGGTCGCTCTATAGAGCTGCCATCGCTGAGTTTATTGCCACTCTACTCTTCGTGTACATCGGCGTTTCTGCTGCCATTGGAAATGGCCGTACCAGCCCCGATGGAGTCGGAGCTCTCGGCGTTGCATGGTCTTTCGGACCTACCATATTTGTGCTTGTCTACTGCACAGCTGGTGTTTCAGGTTCGCCCTTCCATTGCCAACCGGCTCTAGAAGCACTTGCAGTCAGATCGTCCGAGGCTCCATCGATTCCTTCTGGTTGTAGCTAAGAGCGTTTTGATGATGATGTGGTCATAATATTGTGGAACGATGAAAATGTTCTCAGAGTGAAGTCCGTTCTTCACGGTTGTCATGTATGGCAGTAGTCTCATTATTCCGATGCAACGATTGATCTGTTGGTGTGGGCAGGAGGACACATTAACCCCGCAGTTACTTTGGGACTTCTTCTGGGTAGGAAGCTTTCAGTTCCTCGGGCTTTCATCTACATGATTGCCCAGATGGCGGGGGGTATTTGTGGAGCAGGACTCGTGAAGGATTGCAGAAAACTCCATTCCAGGTGTTGGGCGGCGCGACGAATACGGTCAGTGCAGATTTCAGCATCGGCACAGGTCTGGCAGCAGAAATCATCGGAACTTTCTTCCTGGTTTACGTGGTCTACTCTGCCACTGATGCTACGCGCAAGGCCAGGGACTCGTATGTGCCGGTATGTTCGACAACCATTATATCTGAATTTTCTTGAAGAGTGATTTCCCAGATGAATCCACTTGCATCTTCTGAAACTGGATCAGAGTCACAGAAATTATGTTGAAGTGGTTCAAGTTGAAGACGAACCTTGATGTATGGAGGCGCTGCGATGTCCCAGGTGCTAGCCCCATTGCCCATCGGGCTTGCAGTTTTCGTTGTCCACCTCGCGACCATTCCCATCACTGGCTGTGGAATCAACCCTGCACGAAGCTTCGGCCCGGCTGCTCTCTGGAACGACCAGCAAGCTTGGGATGACCAGGTGAGTTATAGTATCTCAACTTATCCCATATAGATGTGTTATATCAATCTTCCCATTGACCGAAATCTCAGAAATCCAGCATCCAGTCTCTCGCATTCGCATGAATATTCTACCTGAAAGCAGTGACAGGGCTAATAATTTGGGACATCTGATTTGCGCAGTGGATCTTCTGGGTCGGTCCCTTCATCGGAGCTACCTTGGCTGCCGCCTATCACCAGTTCGTCATCCGCACTTTGCCGCTAGGATCACACTTCCTGTTCCCGACCATGTCCGGCTCCATGAGCATTTCAGGAAGAAAACTTGAAACCAAGCTTTCAGGGTGAGGACGAAAATACCAAGGACACTAAATCTGCTGACAACAAAATGTGAAGCTCAGGCTCGAGTACATATACTGATCTGCAGCTGCACGTACCACTCTACTGTAAATAACAACGAAGAGGTTCTTATACACAGCCGGAGAGAAACCACGCCCTGAAGGTTCAGCATCAACAAGGGTAAAACCTGAAATCATCTATTTGCAGAGGACTAGGATTACCCCCCGCAATTGCGGATGGTAATCCTAGTAGTAATCCGTCGCACAAAAATATGACCACTGGAGAAGCAGCTTTCATGCCCAGGTTCTAGCATTGTGTTCTCTCTCGGCTGATTGCCCCGAAAAGGTATTGACTGCGTTTGCCTCGGGTCGCAAGTGGGTTTCTATACGACACTCGAAAGGGAAACTTGATGCACAGAGGGCAAGAACACATTGTGAATCACGCCGACAAACCTACTGCCGTACATCTCTTTCATTAGTAAGAGCTTTGATTAGAAAGAAGAATTAGCTAAATTCAGTAAACGTGGCATGAACTTCCGTTGAGAGGCAGTTGAAGCAATCTTCGATCGCATTGCCTCAAGTTGTGCAGTGGGTTAGATCCAGTAAAATAGCTTTCTGATGCTTACATGGCAAAAACAAAAGGATTTTATTTACATTTCATGTCCATCCCAGAATTGAGTGATACCAAAATGTCAAGGTAGTTGAGTTTGTAACTGCTTATAACGCAATACATTCAAAACAGTAGACTACATTTGTTGCACTCGACAAAATTCTCATTTGTTGCCTCTTTTTCCATTGTTACAGAAGTTGGGTCACTGATTATTTGTTTCTGGTTTCATCATATGGAATAATATTTCCTGACATTTCAATCTCTGAGGCGAATGATCAGCAATTGAAACAAAAATTGTTGATCATCAAGCAAGAAGAAGATGCTGAAGTTAAATTTCTCCCAAAAATTGTACGTTATAGACTCATCTCAATTCTAGATATGTAAACCGAAACGTTTTAGTTTCAATAAATATATATATGTATATATATATATATACATATATATAAATAAACATGAGTTTGGTTAGGTTGATTTCAAGAACTGGTGGACATTATCCACTGATCAGAGGAAGCTGATGGGAGATTTCTACTTTGAAATAACAAATTGTCATGTATAAAGTAAAGTCTCAAACACTAATATTATATTTGGATTGAGGAGTAGTTTTCATTCTAACATGATAATGGGGGAGTACATCATCATAGCTTTTGAGTGTTATCGTTTACAATTGGTACTTAGTGTGAGCTCCACAATCAGGGGGGAAGTAGTATATATCGTGAGTAGCAAATATTGATGATAGAGAGTATAAGTTCCGCAAATTTTTCTCACTATTCAATATTGAGGAACCAATTGCTCGTATTTCTTTTGTATTCCGATAAGCATGCCTCCTTAGTTGCGGGATTCAGGGGGGGGGAAGCCGGCAAATTCTGCAAATTCCTCAAATAAGCCTCGGGTGGAACCCGCAAATACCGTGATGGAGTCTGCGGATGCGCAACGCCAACACTGCAGTCCCAATCGAACAAATATTGCCATCCTGAAGAGAGAATACATCAAATTTGCATTTGAGCATTCGCTGAAAACTTCCGCCATGCCTAAGCCTAAGTACGTTAGCTATTTTCAGTCCTCACACGCTGCAGAGTATGGTTTGAAAGTGTATCCACATGACTCCAGCTCTGGCAAAGTATATAGTGTCGTGTGTCGCTTTTGCACTACATTCGGTCGTGAAGAGAACGTCAGCGGCAAGAGTGCACGCACCAATAACGTGAAATACTTCAACACGTTTAGAACTGATGGATACAAGCGCCACCGCCCATTGCTCATGCAGAGCAATGGGCGGAGTACCAACGGATCTTAACCAGTGAGAGTAAAGAGCAGTTCTTCAAGAACATCCCGGTTGCATTCGTCAATAAGCTTGATGCATACCTTGAAAATCAAGGAAATCACATTCCTGTTCTCATCAATGGACCCATTGTGGAAACTGTCCTTGGAGATTTGCTCCTCAATCCAGATGACATCGAAAGCATGTCTTGTGAGCGTGCTCTCCAGCAATTCAAAAAGCTGGATGTGCCTGAACCTGAGATTGGCAAGGAGGATGGCCGCCAAGAAATGTTTGAAGTTGTAATCAAGACGCCTCGGCGACTTAATCTTTGTATAGATTTTGTCCCTTGTGGTGCATCCTTTCGCATGGCGTCCCGCTTGATGGATTGTACTCAAGCTGAATCTGGAATTGGTCTATATGGAGGTCTATAGTGACTTCGGTGCATCCAACAATACTCGATTTGTGTGCGCAAACTGCCTTCAGATGCTTTCGGACGTACAAGAACAAGTGTGGGCTTTCTCCATCGCATTAGATGGCTCGACACATCAAGGACTGTCTTATTTGGACCTGCGTGTGCGGTTCTGTGGGAACCAACTCCCACATAATCCCGGTTTTGTACCAACAAATTGGACAAAAGTAATAAATAAGTACTATGCTAGGTAGGTTTATACTAGAATTAGATTTGTGTAATGCAGTTTAGGGGTTAGGTGTCGCACCGAGTTCTTTAAACTCAAAAAGTGGCTAAAGGACAACATACAACCTGGAGAAGGAGATCGAAACTTCGGAGATGGTTACAACAAAAAACGGACTGCTCGGAAGGGAGGAAGAGTCTCAAGAAGCTTCCTCAGTGTATGTTTTTGCCCCACCCACCGAAACCAAGATATTCCGCCAGAAGTCAAAAATAGAGTTTGAGGCTGGGGATTAGCATTTGGGGTCGCCACAGGTTCAGGTCCGAGATCTCTGGGATTTTTCAGCGAGGGATAAGATTATGTAGGAGTTAGTACTTAAAGCCAAGACGCTTAGTAGGTTAGTATCTTGCTTTCCGTGAGGTTTGTGTGCTTTCCCATTAGAAAAGAAAATTGATTCTTTGGTGACTTGATGCAAGGCACGACGAGTCTCGTGGCAAGATCCATTGTGGGTGACTGTTGCATTTTTTTCTACTTGGTGTATACTCTCGTTGCTCATTTCCGAGAAGAATCTATTGGAACCTATAGTACGAGATCACTTCAGCTGTTGGAGGCGGGTGCAGGCAGAAGAACCTGAGATTTTTTTCGTGGCCCAAGTAGCCTAGAGGAGAGGAGACGTGTAACAAGGTGTTCCTTGTGGTCTATACAGTACGAGTGATCGTTGTCTGAATTCTGAGCTAAGGCCAGAATTACTCCCTCAAAAAACCTATGAGTAGGTGTGAGCCTAAACTCCTCACCCTTCAGCGTTTGTAGTCCAGGTGGGGGTTTGAGCTCCCATAATCTAACTTCTTTGATCTCAACCATGTGGTCAAAGTGTATTCAAGACAATGAGATCATAAACACTTGCTCTTTCACAGACAAATTATCCAAAACTGAAAATAATAACTTGCTGTCTGCTATTTCCACAAGAGCAGCAGACAAGCTCTTTGTTACATAAAGATCTAATCCAACTCTTGGTGACTTTCTCAATACCACAGCCGCTGTGGTCTATCCTAGCTCCGAGTCCCACTCCCAATTCATACTCAGATTTTAGTGTCGATTTCTCAGCTTCCACCTTCAGACCCCACCAGATTCCTCTCTCCGATTCAACTCTCCCTTTTCAGTTTTGAATTCAGATCCAGACTGTCAGATTTCAGTCTCAGATTTCACTTCACTCTCAGCTCCCATTCTCAGATCTTCCACTCTGATTTCAGCTCCCACTCACAGATTTTACACTTCGATCTCAGCTCCCACTCACAGATTTTACACTTCCATCTCAGATCCCACTCACAGATTTTACACTTCCATCTCAGATCCCACTCACAGATTTTACATTTCAATCTCAGATCTCACTCACAGATTTTACACTTCAATCTCAGATCCCACTCACAGATTTTACACTTCAATCTCAGATCCCACTCACAGATTTTACACTTCAATCTCAGATCCCACTCACAGATTTATCACTTCAATCTCAGATCCCAATTTAATTTCACTCTCAGATACGACTTTCCACCCACGAGAGTTTGCTTCCTCCTACTTCGAACTCTCCACACTCCCCTCCTAATTCTCACCACTTCCCTGCGGAAATCACTCACATCCACACTCTATTCCTCCTACCGATCCTACCAGCGTCTCCACACAATGGCACACCACACAATCCCAACTCGCAGGCCGACTAATTCTCTCCAGCGTCCAAGGGCCGAGTCACCCATAGGCCGCGTGAATGCTTTACCCGCGATGATCGGCAACGGCCTGGTTCCCATGTGCAACTTTATGCCCTGCCATCCTATTTCCCACGCTTGACTTCACGCCGCCGCCATTGCCACACCTGTATAGTCTTTATTCATAACCACGTCAACATCCGCCGTCCGAAATCTTCTTCCGCGCACCGCCGAAGGCATCCATCCGCCGAAGACACTCTTCCGCACCTTTGCCTATCTATAACAGTCACCCCCGACGCTCATAACTCACAGATCTCTGCTTCGTTTGAAACGATCTTGGGCTCGTTGAAACAAGCGTGTTAAGCTCTTTCCAACGAGCCCCTAACTAAGTCAAACCGTTAAGAATTGAGTAAGTTATCACTATTTTACTCTTCCGCCAAAGGCGTTTGCCTATGCACAGGCTTCCTACTCGCAACTCACCTACTCGCAACCCGCCTATGCTCAGGCCGCCTATTCGCAACTCCTTGGGCCAAAGGCCTCTCTATCTGTTATCGCCGAGGGCCTCTCTATCTGTTATCGCCGAAGGCCTTTTGCCTAACTATGTTAGCCGCTTTCGACGTTCATAACTCAATGATCTCTCATCCGTTTCAAGAGTTCTTGGTCTCGTTGGAACGAGCGTCGCGAGTTCTTTCCAAAAAAACATTAATTGAGTCAAGGCGTCACACATTGCGTAAACAGAAAAACCTGAAGGTTCAGCATCAACAAGGGTAATTTTGCAAGAGCTTAAATCCAAAATTTTAACTCTCATAAGGGTAAAAAGACATGTGAGCACAGTTTTGTGCTCACATCATTGGCGACCATCAGGGGAAGATTCTAGAATCCTAGCTCTGCACGCTAGATAGCTTCAAATCCGGTACTGCTTGCATCTACTTCCCGCAGTGCGTGTGGGGAAAACTTCTCCATTCAACGTTTCCAACTAGACTGAGTTGTTTGGAAATACCTCACGAATCAGATAAGGCCCTAACCATACTGCATCAAACTTTCCTGGGAACTCAAGCTTCCTACCATCCTGGAGCATCACCATCATACTTGGCCTCAGCGTCCTTTTCTTATGCTTCTTGTCAAAGGTGATTTTTCTCCTCCGTTGAATGGCCTCAATATGTTGAGCACTCATTCTTCTCCTCTCATCAAGCTCTTCTAATGTCGTCAGCCTATTCATCAATGACTGTTTGTTTGTAAGCCTTGACTGCACTGCAACTCGGAGTGATTCCACCTTGAATTCGATGGGAAGAGTGGCCTCCAATCCATACACTAACAAAAACGGCGTTGCCTGGGTCGTCACCTTGAAAGTTATCCGATAAGCCCACAATGCTACTGTCAACTTGATGTCCCAATCCCTTTTTGAGTCAACCACCGTTTTGCAAAGAATACTCACCAAAGTCCCATTGACTCGCTCTGTCTGATCATTGGTTTGTGGATGATATGGAGTAGTTTTTCTGTGATCTATCTGAAATCTATCAGTCATTTCTCGAATTAAAGAATTCAGAAAATGCGAGCCCCTAT